AGCTCAAGCTATCTCATTGTACATATGTTGTGCACTGACAAATAATTCAAATTTTCTCCCTCCGCTTGTCTGATAAGTTTCTTCTTCTGCCATTGAATACACACACACACACAGAGAGAGAGAGAGAGAGTGAAAAGAGGAAACATTCTACAGGGATGCAAGCCAGCCCTGAAGATTGTGACTTTGGAGTTCAATTGTGTCGTCAAGGCTTGCTAGTAATGAACTTTTAACCTTCCTTTCTAATTATTCAACCAAAATGGAGGGAGGCTGCTTCATGAATGACTTAAAACACATATAAACTCTCATACACAGCATTTTTGTTGCCTTAATTAACCAAAGAAGGAATCTGAAAAAATTAAGCCTCCAATCTCCCAAAATGGCTTCTCAGTCAAGAAAACTTTGCTAAGTTTCATGCTTTAATTGCTCAACGCAACCAAGACAATCTTGGCAAATCATGTTAATTTTGGTCCAAAGTCTTGTACCTTTCATTTGAAATATCTCCTAACTTTTGGAGGGTTTTTAAAAATATTTTTGAAAAATTATCCCAGTATTCCACCACTCTGTGGAAGTCAAGTGTTTGGGGGCGGGTTTCACACCCAAGACCAAAAGGACTGCCATGAACAATGATCAGGGAAGTGGGGTTTCCTCAGAAAATTTGCTGGGCCAATAGGGACTGAACCAATGGTGGGATTAATTTTTTTTATTAACGGTTCTGTGTGTATGGCTTTGTGGGTGTGGTGTGACTTTGTGGCCATTATTTTGTGGGCATAGCAGGGGAAGGATACTGCAAAATCCCCATTCCCTCCCCACCCCACTAACTTGCTTTCCAGCTCTGTTCTCCAGTTCAGGACAATAAAAGATCAGCTGGAAGGCAGCGAGGTGGGGGCGGGGCCAGCCTATTTGCCAGTTCTCCCAACTACTCAAAATTTCCGCTAACAGTTCTCTAGAACCTGTCAGAACTGGCTGAATACCACCTCTGGACTGAACAGACCACTGACCTGAATAATAGTAGGAGTAGTACTTTAGTAGTGGTTGCACCTTTGTACCTTATACAGTGAAATTAAATGCCATCTTCGGTGTACATTATACTTAAGAAAACTATAAAAAATAAAACACAAGCACACATCCTTCCCATTCTATGCAATTGAATTGAAACCCCCTGATATTGCATTAATATTGCACTATAGAATTCAATATAGTTAAGGCCCTGGGATAGAAGCTGTTTTTCAGCCTATTTGTCCTTGTCTTTATTGCCTTGTACCGCCTCCCAGATGATAATAGTTCCAAAAAAAAAGGGTGCCCAGGATGACACGAATCTTTAAGAATGTTTTAAACTTTCTTAGGGCAGTGGGAGCTTCCAAGGAGGGGAGGCGGCAACCAATGATCCTCTGGGCAATGATGTTAATCCTGATGTCATGATCTCTAGGGGTATTCTCCTAAGCACCCTAGACTTGTGGTC